TCCGTCTGTTCCTTGTCATACAAATTAGTAAAGTGTTTCGTAAATGTGTCTGTTATTTTGTCCGTCCTCGTATCGTAACTGAATATAATGGGAGAGTTCAGTCTGTTTGCGGATTTTTATCCAAGCCGCCCACTTATCTGAGTTGCCTAGCTTGATTGGCTCTATCTTGGAGCCTTCTTCTGCAAAGGCTCCAAAGATTTCTCCTATCTTTGATTTGTTTATGGTTGGTGCTACCCAGTGAAGGGTAACTCTGATTTTTTCGTCTTCTAAGGTACAGACATCTACCTTGAAGTCCTTATCATTCCCGAATGATTTCCCTAGTATACGGGTTCTCCCTCGGGCGGATGTTGGGACTAGGAACCAGACAAAGGGGTTCTCGAAGCGATAGAGAGAACTCACTTCGTCCGGTGTTAGTTTCAGGCACTCTATTAAGCTCGCCATAGTGGCCTTAACAGCCCCTTGGCCTGACAGCTTTAGAAGCAAGTTACCTGGGGCGTGGACAAGTCCACCATCCAGGTCCTTTTTTTCAATAAAAAATGTCTTAACTGACATTTGTACAAGGGTTTATCACAAGTACAGAGACAGAAAAGAGACGATAACTACACTACAAACTACACAGTACTTTACTACACAACCCTTGCGCCGTCCACTCTAAACAGTAACACACAAAAATCCACAGAATCACAAAAAAAAAACAACAACACAGAAACACAAGTAATCCACAAAATAAATCCTCAAGTGTTAGCTACTTAATCTCTTATTCGAATCCTCAAAAAAGTAGCCGTTGCATCAGAACTTTGAATGGTCTAAAATATTGTGATGTCGGATTTTCAATATCTTTTCTAGTTTACGAGATCTAAACGGGACAGACGGACAGACATTTCGCACAAAACTAATAGCGTCTTTTCCCCTTTCGGGGGCCGCTAAAAAACAAATGAAGCTTTTAATAAGCGTAATTGTATCATGTACATTAAATTTGTAATAGATCTAGATTCTAGAATAACAATAATAAATGTGTATGAATAGAAATATTTTTACCAATTGTTTTTGTTTAGCGCAAACTTTGCTTTTAGCTTTCTCAATGCGCTATGATCCTATCACTTGTCTAAACCAGTTGGGAAAGGGATGGGTGGAGAAATAAGGGAGTACCAGTAGGACTGTTACCGTGATCGCCTTTTAAATGCATATATATAAAAAAAAGTTGAATGAACTGAATTTAAACTCGAGCTCAAGCCTCCTCAGGCAAACACACTAATCACTGAGCCAGCGAAGCGCTCATGAAAATTACGATTTAATATTTTTCTATTGTTAGTTTCAAGTTTTAAAGCGGCTATCTACAAAGTATAAAGAGGATTAATTCAACTTATACCACCACATCAGTCAAGTACAATTTCTTCCCCCTTGTTCGATAGCAAACAAAGTAATACCTTACCAATAGTTAATTAAATAATTGGTACAAAAAATTATTGATTCTTGTTTTGTCAACTAAAAGAAATAATTGTGAAAAATTTCACCTTGATCCGAGATTGGGTGTGGGAAAAATAACTTGTACAAGCTTTTGACCAGACAGAGTGTTATAAGCTTTTTAAAAATTGCATCATACTAAAAGCAAGAGCCTCCAGACATTTTTATTCACCAGTGCTGAAAAGTGCAAAAAAAATAAATAAATTAGAAAATGGCTATTACAATACTTTGTTTATCTATACATCCGTATTCTTCACACCGGATACACCAAAAAGCTTGCTATTTATTAATTTGCCTTCAAAAATGATAACATCCAAATATTCTTAAGTAAAATCCAAGCTCGTTTAATAATATTTATTAAATTTGTAATTGATCTACATTTCCATTATGCATATGTGTGCATATGCAGGGCCAGCCTTACACATTGCGGGGCCCAATTTAATGGATGCTTGCAAGGCCCTTCTAATTTTTTTTTTACAATAACAACTACTTTTGACTAACTAATTACATCAACATTTATTATACAATATGCAAAGGAAGCAAATGACTGCAATAGGCGCCAGTGTGTTAATTAAAGCTACGTCAATCATACGATACACTATTATTCTTAGCATCTTTAAAGCCTGTGACAAGAGCCATAACTGATAATGAAATGCAAATGTAAACTGCAGAGACCCTGCCAAGCGCAGGGCCCTATTTGGAGCAATCGTAAAATCGGCTTAAGGTCGCCCCTGTGCATATGTATTAGCTAGTTAGTTACGTAGTGTATCTATGTAATTTTATGTTTTATTTATTTATTTATGTATTATTTAATTTGAAATGGCGCGTAAGTAACTATCTACTCTACTTTTTCAATCACTTTTGTGGACACATCGAAAGAGGGAGGAGGAGGTAATCTGGGAGAAGGTTTCCGTGCACCCTCTCAGTAAACGCAACTGAAGTCAAATCTCTTTAAAAAAAATTCCTAGACAGAAAATGGCGTATTACTTACTTGTACCTATAAGACCTGGTTCACAAATGCTTATAACATTTAGAACGTAGCCTACATTCGATTATTAGAAATGGAATAAACATATTTACCTATAAAGATTGCTAAGAATTCATTCACACTTGAGGCCGAAAGAAAACCCCTGTACAAAACAGTTATAATAAATAAAATTAATTAATTAATTAATAATAAATAATAGGGCTACTGAAGAAAAAATAAATAGGAATACAACTACATTTTCAGTTCTTGAAATCAATAAAATTATCTTGTGTTATTTTATCTTTTAAAAAATGTAATGATAAGTATTTTTTATTCAGTTTTCAACAGCCTTTTGATGACAACATTTCTAAGAGGAATGACAGACAACTGAAAATTTCAAGGGACGTTCTGAATTGCTTCAGTCAGGGCTCAAACAGAGAAATGTTTTGTGACTTCACTGTCGTGGTAGAAGAACATGAGTTTCCATGTCATAGATTTTTACTGAGTGCGTGCTCTAAATTCTTTGAGGCGCTGTTGAGGTCAGATATGAAAGAAAGCCGACAAAAGCGAGTCGTAGTCAAAGGAATGTCCCCAGATATATTTAAACTTATTCTCGATGTGATCTACTGTGGGTCGGATGTTTTGACCCCGAAGACCATAATAGAAATCTGGAACGCTGCTCATCAACTCCAGATTGTCTTCTTGATGTCCTTATGTGAGGATTTCATTCAGGAGAACTTGAATGAAGCCAACTGCTACGAAATGTACAGCCTCGCGCAACTTTTATCTTCCGAGAAAATCATCAATTTGGCGATCAACTTTATGGCTAAACACTTTTACAACTTTGCTCAGTCGGGGATGTTTGAACAGATGAAATTTGAAGACTTCAAAAAAATTCTACAATTTCAAGAATCAACAGTGTGTGTCGATTTTAAAATCGACACTATCGTAAACTGGTGCTGTCAAGAATATAACAGTAACTCAGATGGCTCAGAAACGGACAGACAAAAATACCTTGGAACATTGTTTCATGCTGTGAATCTATCTCAAGTTAGTAAAATATGTTTGGCCTCCCTTATGACTAATAAGCATGTCTTGGCCAACACAGAGGCAATAACAGCAGTCAATAGGCAGGCTTCTCAGATAGTAATAAATCCTGATTATGACCTCGTATTTCAGCAAAGAAATGGATTTAATTTACCATTTCCGCAAACAAGTAATACCTGTCTGCACTGCAGTAACAAATCAATGAAAGGCTTTCGCTGAGGCCCATGACCGACCCTAACTATTGCTGGGCTCTATGCGAAACGGATTGCGCGGGGCTTAGTCTGGAAAGGGATAAGGATAATAAGTGAAAATTAAGATTTTTAATTAGAAAATAAATTCATCTTTGCCTTTTATTCATTCTTTACATTGTAACGATCAAATTAACTTTACGAGCCTTGCGTGTAGCGAAGTCATACAATATATCATCAAAATTCTGTTTCCTACATGGATCACATTCAATAGCGAAAATTGCCAGATTGTTCAATCTGTCTTTGTGAATTGTCGCCCTCAATTTATTTTCGATTAATTTGAGGCGCGAGAAGCTTCTTTCACCAAAACCACAGTTACGGGTATTGTTAAACATATTCTGCGTGCAACAAAGCAATGTGGAGAAGCAGTGTATCTAGTGGACAGATAAGTAAAGTTTTACCGGAGATATGGCGGTATTTGGTAGAATATGCCTTAAAGATGACAAATGTGTCTTTTTTTCCCAGGAGATTTTTATGAGTTTTCATTAGATTTTCTATGTTTCTATGAGATTTCTAGGCGCTCCTGGAAAATCAGGAGGCCGCGGGAACCCTGTAATATAAGTTATAATGTTTAATTTAATGATGTACACTTAGAATTAGCGAGGGGCCTATGAAATCGCGGGGCCCACTGCAGCCGCATTGGTTGCAGTGACCTAAGACCGGTCTTACTGAGGCCCATGTTAAGAGAATGTGTATCTTAAAATTAACTATAATAAGCTTATCCTTCGCTGTTATAGGAAGCAGAGGAGTCCAAGTTTCGCTATGAAAATATGTTAACATTCAGGACATGGGTAGTTTGGGCTTGTTATTCCATTGACTGCATTTCGCTTGCCGTTTTCACTTCGAAGTAGTCTATCCTCTTTGCCTTGTAGCCTTTGTCACATTCAACAGCACATTTCTGTTACCGAGCGGATATAGCCTAGTCATGATGCATAGAAATGGGAAGTTCTTGACGAGATAATTTTGAAACAAGTAAGTGTGTCACTAGAAAAAAAATATTCCTTAAGAAAGTTTGCAGGAAATGTCAAGAATAACGTATTCACCTAGAAAAGTCTTGGGAGACTATTAAAGAAATACAAAACCAGGCAAGACATCGAAGTCATAGGTAATTTTAATCAGCAGTCGTTAAATAGTAGTTATTCACTGCTTTATTTTATATTGATATTTTATTGTCAGACAGTCAAGGTCAGGGACGTTTCATTTCACAAAATTGTGTGTGGAGCTTTATAACGCAGACAGACGATAAGGCTACATCTATTGGGCCAAAAAAGTGCTTATGCATAGGCTACATTAGAGAGTTGCCGGCCCTTCAATTGAATGATGAAATAGACACACACAAACAAAAAGAGAACTTATAGAATTTGAGGACCAGAAATATTGTGTTGGGAGTAGAAGAGCATTGTAATGCGGCTGTTTTATTTATTACATGAATTTTGATTGATGTTTGTTTTACACATTCAGTTCATTCCTTCGTACAACCTCTAACCTTACCATTTAACGTATAAATTAGCTTCAAAGCCTATAAAAAGCTTCACTTTGAACATTGTAGCGGATGATAGGTATACAATACTATTTATAAGTTTAAAATAAATCGTAAAAAAAAAAAAATAAACTTAAAATCGTAATTCATATAGTCATGGATAAATTGTGGGTACGAGTGGAGTATGTTATGTTGACTTCATTTACGATTCTGTATTGTTATTCTAAGTGGACCAGATACTTTATTTCATGTATGATTTACGGTTTTGTTGATGGTTAGCAAAGTCCATTTCATGGCATTTTTTTTCAGCGCAATAAAAACTAATATAAAAGATAATTAGTAGATTTGTAATGTAAAAAAAAAAAAGGTTAATTTAGCATATTCATTGTTGAAAGATGTTTGTTAAGGAGTTTATTTGTTAAGACTTCTACATCTTTCCATTCTTCACGCTTTTATTTCTTTCTTATAGTGTATGTGTTATACTGTTTACCAAGTCAGCACATTAGAGGAGAAATGAATATTTGTCAAAATTATGGTGTTGAGCTTTCAGATTTTAAATTCACTCTTGTCAATTTCATACTGTCGTCTTTCAACATTGTTACGTTGTAATGAGATATACAAATAAAAGCTTTTTTTAAAATCACAATCGCTTCTCAATATTATGTTCAAATTTTAATGTGTTGTTTATTTTTCAATTATCTTTCTCGTTTTTCTTTGTAAATGTCCTGCTGTACAGGAGACTAGGGTTTACAAGTTGCTAGAACCAAGTTGCAAAACTAATTCATCAGAATATGGCATAACAAATGATTCTCTGAGAAAAAGTAGTCCTACACCTCCTTACTACATATCAAAGCCTCCAACATTCCAAAGTCAGGACTTAGTGGACGACTAATTAGTCTTATTGTTTTATCATGACGTGTCTTTTTTTTTTCTTGACAAAATAAGGAAGAACTTAGAATTGGTACAATCAACATTTTACTGAGTCATTATATCGACTTCACTGTAACTCTTCTACTTATGAAATTATTTCGGTTCATTTTGTTTAGCTGAAAAGAAAAGTGACTTTTCACTTGAACTAGATTAGTTAACAAGGAAACGTAGATGGTCTACTTGAGCAATAAGAAATGGGGCGAGAGGAGGTGGTTTACTTAAGGCCCCATCGTGAATTGAACCCTTCACTTGGTGGCTAGTTCGTTCATTTTTGTTTCTTAATTTGTTGACCTGACCAGTCAATTCGTAGGCTGTATGAAGAGCTGCCGGTATCGTTTTATTGAACACTCAAACACTCGTCTGCTATTCTCCACGGATTGATTCTTTGGCGGGAGATTTGAAGTGTAAAGTGAGACCACGCATAAATACGTGAAGGAGACAGCATTATCGATTACATTCTTTAGAGAAGTCTCTCTAGAATCTGTCTTTTACATTTTCGTGATTAGTCCTGTTTCTTTATGTATACCGGTGTTTGAACGTGTAGTCTGTTCAGTATACAATTTATCTATTTGTTAGCTGATTCAAACAAACAAGTAGAATGAGCTATCGTTATACAAATCTCACCAAAAAAAAATGAGATAAAAAATTAATTAGGCTGATTTTTTATTTTTTTTTGAGGTTCAAGAATCATTTTGTCGCTAAAATTTTTAGGAGTCGAGTCAGTTTCATACTTTCAAACCTGCTAGCAAATTATGTTGGACATTAAATAAATCACTTGTTGTTTTTTTTCTCGCGGGCACGTCTTCGGAGAATTGTATTTACTTTGCTGGCACGCCCAGTACAAAGACTAAGTGATTTTATCGAAATACCATCGGCACAAACAAAGCCTCATGGGAAGTGGACCTCTTTATGACGTCATAGGGACTTGGAGTACAGATCAATTATATGTTGGTCTTGTTTAGGCTGTATGAAGAATTTGGGAAATATTGAAAATAGGGACCGTGGACAAACGAAAGTTGAAAAAGAATACTCTATAATATAATAATAATATACCTGTGCAGAGACGTGGATAGGGGTGTGTATGTGTAATCAGCTGACTCAGATAATTCCCTGTTGTTTCTCGAAACCAATGAGTATGTACTATGTAGCCTAAACATCTTGTTTAAACATCTCTTGAGATTTTGATGTGTACCTTCTCACTTGTCTATCCATGTCACAGTGCAAGAAGCCTCAATAAATATAAATATCACTCTGACGAAAACATTTGTCTATCATTTCCTTTTTAAAAATATTGATTTTTTAGATCTACTTTTCTTGTTCGATAGCCTGTTCAATGCCGAATTCAAAGGCAATCATCTCAGGCAGAATTTTTTACAATTTTAATTTTTTTTTTAAATTTCAATGTTTTTATTATTCATGTACCTATCATGGAATTGAAATGTTGGTTTAGCCTCGATCTGTACAATCGAAAAAAAAGTTAGTACAATTGCCAACTTCTAAAGATCATCAGTACTAGACAACAGAATGCTACAATAATAACGTCTATACATTGTCAATGTGATTAGAAAATAACGAAGATTGCAGAGCTAAACGAGGCAATTAAATTCCACACAAACAGGGGAAGCCAGTTAAAGTAAGCGTATTTAGGTCAAGGTCCGTTTTTAGATATTTTTTTTACAAAGCTTATATTAACTCATTTCGTCTGTCTGTCTGTCTGTCTGTCCGGTACAATTTTTGTACATGCTTTCTCTCCCACACCTAGTTTCGGATCAAGTTGAAGTTTTGCACTATTGTGTTTTTGTACCTGAGAAAACAAGAATCAATTTTTAAAAATAATTGGTTAATTAACTAATGGTAATTAATTATTTTGTTTGGTGTCGAACATTGGAGAGAAATTGTACTTGACAAATATGCTGGTATATGTTAAATTAGTTCCCTTGAGGAGACTTGAGCCCTCGAGTTCGAATTCAAGTCGTACAACTGTTGTTTTTTTATGCATTTTAAAAGCGATCACGGAAACAGTCCACCTTCTTTCTCGCCCCTCCCCTCTCCTTTCCTAACTGGTCTAAACAAATGATAGAATCATAGCACATTGAGAAAGTTAAAAGCATGAAATTGCGCTACTCAAAAACAATTGATAAAAATATTTCTAATCACACAGGTTTATTATTGTTAGTCTTAGCTCTATTACAAATTTAATTACATGACTGATCCAAACTAATTGATACACTAGATATAAGCTTTTTTAAAAAGTATTTTAAAATATTTTTCTTGTTTGGTGTTTTATTTTTTGTATTTCCTCGAAGCAGAAGAAAGGTAGAATAAAGAAACGACGTGAACATCGGAACCAAACATTACATATTAGCCTATATGATAATTGCGGTAAACAGAAGGAGCTCCTCAAATAGAAAACGTGAGGCTCACGTTTCTGTCCAGCAGATTCAAGGAAAAGTCATAATTTCTGTTATTTTAATTACTGAAATAGAACACTAATGTGAACCCCTTGTAAAATATTGCTAAAGCGTATTCCTAATGAGACGTCCACACTGTTGTTGACATCTTGGTTAGATCATGGTTGGATCTTACTCTCAAAAGAAATGCGAAACCGAGACATGCAAAGCACACACAATTCTCTTCTCGCACTTTTTCATTCACCCGATACCCGATTACACACGCGCACACACACACACACATATACACATATTAATGTCAAAGACAAAGGAAATTTTACCAAAGGAGCGATGACTTATTGAATTACGGCAAAGTATAAATAGAAATATCTGTGGGGAGTTCTCAAGTGATAAATGTCCAAAAGCGTGTGTGTGTGTGCGCGCGAAGAGGAGGATGCCAGCACTTCTGCTTTATGCGACAGGAATAAATTAGAATAAGGACAGAGGTGGAGGGGGGATGTAACAATGTTCAGCTAGCGCTTCTCAAAGTATTGGAAATGGGATCTCAATATTCTTAACACAACAAAGTTTTGGCTATCAAGTGTTAGAATCCCTCCACCGAGTAAATTGACGTTCTTAAAATACACATTTGATCAGGAGCGCAAAGTGTTCTATTTGAACATTCAAATGTAGATCTATTTCCTTCAGCTAAACGATCATTTACTCACTAATGTTGATATTGCATAGGTGAGAAGTGAGAACATAACTAATGTTGATAATGCATAGGTGAGAAGTGAGAACATAACTAATGTTGATAATGCATAGGTGAGAAGTGAGAACATAACTAATGTTGATAATGCATAGGTGAGAAGTGAGAACATAACTAATGTTGATAATGCATAGGTGAGAAGTGAGAACATAACTAATGTTGATATTGCATAGGTGAGAAGTGAGAACATAACTAATGTTGATAATGCATAGGTGAGAAGTGAGAACATAACTAATGTTGATAATGCATAGGTGAGAAGTGAGAACATAACTAATGTTGATAATGCATAGGTGAGAAGTGAGAACATAACTAATGTTGATAATGCATAGGTGAGAAGTGAGAACATAACTAATGTTGATAATGCATAGGTGAGAAGTGAGAACATAACTAATGTTGATAATGCATAGGTGAGAAGTGAGAACATAACTAATGTTGATAATGCATAGGTGAGAAGTGAGAACATAACTAATGTGGATATTGCATAGGTGAGAAGTGAGAACATAACTAATGTTGATAATGCATAGGTGAGAAGTGAGAACATAACTAATGTTGATAATGCATAGGTGAGAAGTGAGAACATAACTAATGTTGATAATGCATAGGTGAGAAGTGAGAACATAACTAATGTTGATAATGCATAGGTGAGAAGTGAGAACATAACTAATGTTGATAATGCATAGGTGAGAAGTGAGAACATAACTAATGTTGATAATGCATAGGTGAGAAGTGAGAACATAACTAATGTTGATAATGCATAGGTGAGAAGTGAGAACATAACTAATGTGGATATTGCATAGGTGAGAAGTGAGAACATAACTAATGTTGATAATGCATAGGTGAGAAGTGAGAACATAACTAATGTTGATAATGCATAGGTGAGAAGTGAGAACATAACTAATGTTGATAATGCATAGGTGAGAAGTGAGAACATAACTAATGTTGATAATGCATAGGTGAGAAGTGAGAACATAACTAATGTGGATATTGCATAGGTGAGAAGTGAGAACATAACTAATGTTGATAATGCATAGGTGAGAAGTGAGAACATAACTAATGTTGATAATGCATAGGTGAGAAGTGAGAACATAACTAATGTTGATAATGCATAGGTGAGAAGTGAGAACATAACTAATGTTGATAATGCATAGGTGAGAAGTGAGAACATAACTAATGTTGATAATGCATAGGTGAGAAGTGAGAACATAACTAATATGGATATTGCATAGGTGAGAAGTGAGAACATAACTAATGTTGATAATGCATAGGTGAGAAGTGAGAACATAACTAATGTTGATAATGCATAGGTGAGAAGTGAGAACATAACTAATGTTGATAATGCATAGGTGAGAAGTGAGAACATAACTAATGTTGATAATGCATAGGTGAGAAGTGAGAACATAACTAATGTTGATAATGCATAGGTGAGAAGTGAGAACATAACTAATGTTGATAATGCATAGGTGAGAAGTGAGAACATAACTAATGTGCACATTTTTTAAAACCAATTGAGTGAAATCTACATAACGTCTCTTCGTTTGTCGCCTCCTCTATTGTTTTA